TAATAGTCGATGTTGATGGTTGTTCCTTTTTCAAGATAGTCAATGAATATTAAACCATGAGCATTCCAAAATACTGATGCCATAACTTTGCCTGCTGACTTTTGCATCCTTCCAAGCTTTGGAATTGGTTCTTCTCGTGCAGTTCACTCGCTGACGGTCGATTGGACTCCGGTGTGAAATTATGGAGCCATGTTTCACCCATTGTCATATATCGACACATAAATTCAGATTTATTACGATTAAACAGCTTCAAACACAGCTCAGAATCATCAATTCGTTGTTGTTTTTGGTCAATTGTGAGCTCGTGCGGCACCCACTTTGCCTAGAGCTTTCTCATACCCAAATATTCATTCACGATATGTCTAACACTTTCCTTTGATATCTTTAGAGTCTCAGATATTTTGATCAACTTCACTATACAGTAATCTAAAATCATTTTGTGGACTTTTTTAAAATTTTCGTCGCTAACAGCCTCTTTGGGGCGTCCACAGTGCGCATCTTCGTCGGTGTTCATTTCGCCTCGTTTAAACTTAGCAAACCACATCGCAATGGTTGATTTTCCTGGTACAGAGTTCGAATAATGTTTCTCAAGAAAAGCCTTGGCTTCAAGAGTATTTTTTTTCGCCAGAAAGCAATGCTTATAAACACGCGAAATTCCTTTTTATCCATTGTTTTTAAACTAACAAAAGTTGCTTCACTAAAAATACTATATCTTACAAACTGTTAGTCCGACAGCTGTCAAATTTATACTCGTGTCTTTCGAAGGTTAGAACTGACTAAAAATCATATGTTTTTAATAATAGTAGCCCCATCTATGTGTCAGCCTACGAACTTTTCAGCCCAACTGTTATGTTACCGTTAATGACCAAAATCAACAGAATGTTGACTTTCACCAATGAATGTCAACAATCGCATAGTCGCTTTGAATGTCCGAAATATTTGTTATATCCGATTTGATATTAATTTATTCGTTGATATAATTATATTTATTCGATATTTTAACAACTGTTGAGATTGTAGATTAGGAGAAACATCAGTGTTCGGAGTACCGGTTAAATGCATACCGAGCAGTGGTACTTGACCTTAAAAAATATTGATGTAGAGCATACCGGGCAGTGGCACTTAACTGGACCTAGTGTATATTTTACCAAAGCGGCTATGTGATTGTCAACATTCATCGGTGGAAGTCAACAACCACCCATTTCTGTTATTCACAGTCACATGTCCATATGAACTGCGAATACATGATGTACAATAAAGAAAAGTTCTGATAATGAAATAATTTTGATAAAAGTTTTTACTTTAGAAAAACAGTAAGTTCTTTAAACCTAATATCTTACTAGGGCAAACATTCGTCATACTTGTCAACTTTTTCCGATGACTTTTGATTGACAAGTGATAATGAAACGAAACTTAATAGATGAGCAGGATTTTTTCTACTACTTAAAATATAAAAATAAAATCGTACAAAAAATCAATGTAAAGATTGCAGCTAATTATCCTAATGATGTGATTTAGTCATTAAACTTTTTTTTAAGGATTATCGTAAATCTCTCCATTTTAATAATTATTTTTGTGTACGATTTCTTGAAAGAAATCACACTTTTTCATTTGCTTGGTTTATTTAGCATTTTTAGAAGCTGGTATTTAGTAATTTTGAAATAAAAATTATCCTAAATTGAAATACTTAGAAAACTGTAATCACACAAATTTTCAAATGAAACCATTGACACTGCACGAAGTAATGCATGCTAATGTTTTTCAAGGACTCATGAAACACCATATCATTGATCACGTGATTTGCTCTCAAGCTATCCCTCAGTTTGCGAAGAGCTCAAATTTGATTGGAGAACTCCTGAGTTTATCCAGAAGCGAAGATAATAAACTGTACGTTGATGATGTCCAAATTGTAGTCAAAGATTTAATAGCAACAAATGGAGTAGTACATGTCATTGATGGCCTGCTTTCTACAAAACAAGGTATATTTAAACATCTATACACATGTACATGTACATTAAACATGTACATTTAACAAATAAAAGAATAAAACCACAAGTTAAGATGCATAAAGTGATGGAAAGTAATCCGCGTTGTGTTTCAGGGGATAGAGCGTTCCTCTTCCAAAGATGTGACCCAAACGCGAATACCAGCGAAAGCTGGGTAAGATGGATTTTGCACCGACCACAGTGCGGAAGTAAAAGGTTAAGGATAGTTATCCTTAACCTTTTCTGGACGGGTGATTCAGAAAAGCATTCGTACAAAATCAGAATCAGGAAGGGGAAAAAATAAAAAGCGGTAGCTTAGATGTGGTCGGTGCTAATTTGACAGAAATAGTTTGAGTTCACTTTAATCAATGTTAGTCTAATCACAAAACTCAGTTCAAAGTCCAACTATATAATTTTCATTCTGAATTAAGCGATGAATTAAACAAATCACACTATTATAACCCCCCACATAAGTAAACCGATGAATAATTAGTTGGTTACTGATTTTATCTTTTTACTTCGATTCATAACTTTTCATGCTGGCACAGATGTGCAACAATCAGCGCGAAAGGGTTACCGGCAGTAAGATCAGGGGTTAGAATCCCCATGCCGGCGTGCTAACCACAGAAAGTTTCCGTGGTTTTCCCGAAATGCAAATGTGTGTTAGTTCCATCAAAAAAAAAAAAAACACTTTACGAAGGTTAATTTGTTCCAATGGTTTATTTTATTTTATAACTGTCGTTGAACAGCTGACCCAATTTCAGGGTTACGACTACTAATGTTCAACGCCATAGCCTTGTAATTTTGAACCCACTCCAGAAGACAAAGGAAGTCCTGGATTAAGTATTGAGTGAAATCTGCCTTCGTGAAGGACTTTTTGATGGTACAAACCCACATTTGCGTTACATGGAGAGGAAAACCACCAAAACCTCCTACGGTTAGCCTGAAAGAAAGGGAACTCTAACCCATGAGCCGTCTACCACGAAGAATATTCTACATCAGACCTGTGGTCGGAACCATTGAACTAGTACGTGCGAAAATTCGATCGTTAGATCAAAGATTTTTCAGGGTGATTCGTTTATTTATTAATTTTGCGCACTCTGAACAATAGTTTTTTCGTGTCACTCTCAGGAGATTTAAACTAGCTTTTAATATTATTATTCCAAATCAGAAATAATACAGGGTGTCTACTGGTTGCGGAAATATTAGTAAAACTTTTTTTTATTTGTCTGCAAATCCCCTAGTTAAATTTGACTTTTAAGCTGTCAACATATAAGGTAGACAAATGGTCATGTGGCAGAGGTTTTGCTCTCTTTTAGTATATAGACTTAGAGGTTGGGCAGCTCTGATGTGCAAGGCACATCGACCAGAGGTCTGTTGTACCCAAATCCTAGATCATGATTAGCGGAATAACTTCATAGCTAAAACAAAGTTCAGTAAACACCTGACCGGAATATCCTGTAGCTCCCAGGCCTCAACATAATTTTTTCCCAGATGCTCAAATTTTTGAGCAGAATAGACCTCACACTCACAAAGAATATGTCGTGAAGTTTCCTCCTCAATATGACAACTACAAAAAAAGAGGATTGGGTGTTATACTCATAATGAAGAGGTGTCTCCTGAGGGTGCAGTGACCAGGTGAGAAGACCAATGATCTTCCTCAAAGCTATTCCTGTTAAGCTAAAGAAGCTCTTTTTGATCTCCACCGAAGCAGTCACGATTTAACTCCTTAGCTTGTGCCTTTGACCGTCCAAGTTGCGTCATTGTTCATGGGAATTTTTTCCATAGAATTTGAAAATAGATGCTCTGAAGGATGTCGAGGAAATTCCTAAAGCTGGTTCAAGTTCACAGAAAATCGCACTGGAGCCGGTCCGTGTAATTTCATCAGTCAGCTCATTGCTAGAAATATGCATACCAGGAATACTCATATATTATAAATTCAATTCTTTGTAAAACAGGGCAACTTAGAAAAGTGGATAAGTTTAAAAGGGTGGTCAACTTAACAGGTAACGCTGTACTATCAACGCTAAAATATAACTTCGGTAAACTGATAAAAATATAGATTCTTTTTAATAAAATAAGTTTTTTGCACTATGTTGTTTTATCGTACAAAAATTATTCTGAAATTAATTTTTATTATTCTAAAATTAATTCATTTATTGTTTTGGATTATAATAATATGCATATAATACTTTTCAAATGGTTACTTTTATAAAATTTGTATTAAATTGAAATCCGTTCTATCAACTTCAAATTGAACTTTGTATACTAATTATTTTATTAAAAAAATATCTACTTATGATACTGAAAATTATTTAATTACATTAAATTTTGAGTTAAACAGCCCCAATCGAATCAGACATTTGTATAATAGTAAATGAGGTGCTTTTTATTTCTTGTGTTTTTCCGTGATTCCTCTATGACTATATTTCTTTCAGCTAGCACTGTTTCTCAAGTGATGGAAAAATATGGGCTAGGAGAATTCTTATCCTTAATCAAGATGGCAAATCTCGGATATTATTTTGACGCTTTGGAGAATGTAACTTATTTCGTACCCTCCGATGATTCCATAAAAGTAAGACATGCCAATATCTCGAATCAGTAATTCTGCCTGACCTCAATAACAGGTGTCAAAAATAGAACATTTTTACGAATTAGCAATTTAGTCGAAATATCACACTAGAGAAAAAAATTCTTGTTGCATTTATACAAATAATTCATCTTAACTTATTCGGGTGTGGGGATTTCTAGCCTTTATTTCTTGAGGGACTTTATTTCTTTATTCTTCGGGCTTAGGATTTCTTTAGGGGTTTAAGAGTTTTATTCTTAAAGCTACAGATTTTTTTAAATGGCTTTTTTAGTATATTTATTTCTGAAATGAACAAATTAAAAAACTTTATGTGTAATAGGAATCGCGTAAGTGTTGTGACCAGCTTCTAGAGGAGTTATGGCATATTATCATGTTTGAAATTGCAGAGGAACCGATGCCCGGAAATGCCATTGTACAAGGATTTTGGCGCTTCCCTATTATAAACTCTCACTGGCTGAAAACGATCTGTCTTTTTGGATTGGTAGCTTTGATAATTGTCTGCGCACTTAACATATCGTGTATTGTTGCTGCAAGTCTCTTTAGGTATTCAAAACTTTTGCAGTGCGCTGTCATGCCCACCACGGAAAAGTTCAATCCTGAGTTGACGATGACAGTAAGTCTGCCTGAAATTTTGTCCTTTTGCTCAGATGTAGTTATCACATTAAAAAACTACAATTAAGTTTTCAACGAGGCTGTTTGTACCCCGGAAAAGAGAATTAACCGGTAGTGAAACTATTTCATTTTCAAACTAAGGGCACAGGCTGTTGTATTTTTAATAAGTCTTATAAATTTTAACAAGTCTTGGTAGCCAAGGATTTATATTGCTTCCGAAAACAATTTAACTATAAAATGCTTTAACGACCAACGATTTTCTTTTGCTTTCCGGGGCACTAATAGCCCTGGTTTGCAGTGGACATAGGTGATCTGTGTCTGCCCTTATTTCTTTTCTTCATTTGAATAAACTTGATCAGTCAAAACCAGAGGACACTAAGGCATTTTCAAGAAGAACTCAATATATATATCAAGATCAAATCCACGAAATAGAAATTTCACGTTCATGATCTTTATGACAAGGGTAGTATCCAGTTATATTTTCTCTGATGGAAGAAGGGTTGCAGGATCAAATTTAATTTCCTCGGGAGTTTCAGTAATGCCTGAAAAAATGGAGTGGTTTCAGGCTGAGCGAATGCACTTATCATCTGAGTTGGATTGGAGTCAAAAGTGAATTGAATGAGTTTTTTCTTATTTCGTTTTTATACTTATTCTTATTGTTTCGATTTCTTTACCGTAGCATTATCATTGTTCAATTAGAATATTATTTACATAAGATTGTCGCAGAATGTTTGTAACAATTAACCAAGTTTTTAACTCCTTTCTCCATGATTTCTCCCCACCACCGCCATTAAACGAAAAATATCTGATTTATGATAGGTCAGTAATAGTTCTATCAAAGTTAAGCCTCGAAGTCATACTATCGTCCTGGACCGTAAATTAAAAGTCATTAAATTTACAATTGAAACTGGAAATATACATTTTTTTGAATAAATCAAGCGGAAATCAGTAGTTCGATCGAATTTTGTTTTAGTTGCGTAAAAAGTTTCTAAGTATCGGAGGTCGAGGCTACAAATTATTCAGATTCATTTGTTTGATTCTGATCGATTTATCCTTAGAAAAAGAATTCTAGACTAAATCAGGGCTTTCTTTCTCAATTTCTGCAATTCTATATCCTTAAGTTATTTCATCGTGGTGAGATTGAATAGTAAGCATAACGATCTTTAACAGTATTATAGTCATTTTATTATATATTATAAAGTACATAAGCAGCATTCAGATAGGAAACACTTGCAGAGATGCTGACTTGCCATCTTTATGAAAAAATGTTTTCAATGATTGCAAAATTTATGTTTTTACACATGATTCTTGGTTTAGTAAATTTAATTGGTAGCACTTTTAGCCCCCATTACTTCTTAATAACACTAAAGTTCATAAAAAAAACTCACATTATTGCTGTTACTTCGTGGTGAGCCTCTTAAAATGCTGTCAAAATAATCATAATCTGCAAATCTTAGTTTGTAGTTCTTAACCATTATTTAAAATACTTTGTGGAAATCGAGGTAGTTGACATGCCTACACTTGTGGATTACCAAATATATTAACAACAAAGTCAATAGCAATAATTTAGAATGAACAATTAATTATCTTTGAAAAAAAATGCTATCATAAGTTTTTAAAGGTTTTTTTCATGCAGAAAAAAATAAACAAATGCCACAGCTTTAATTCAAAACAAAGCTTTAAGCTAAAATTTTAAACTCTACAGTAGTGACGTAGTGTGGGTATCACGATCATTATTGGTTGTTAAAATGTGGCATTTGTTTACATTAGCAACTGTTCTTCTCATTCTATTTTGAATAAACCTAGTACGTCAAGTATCAATTCTCTCGAAGTGACGTAATCTTTATTCTTTCACAAAGATTTCAATTCTTTCACTTTATATTTCTTATTTAACACAAAGACAGACACGAAGCCATGTATAATATAAACAAACTAATTATGCATACACAAAGCAAAAATATATCACGGATATAATAAATACATAAACAAATAATAAATCTAAGCTAAATAAAAGAGGTCGACAAGAAAGAATTATACTTAAACAAATTCTAGGTCCGACACGGTACTTTATTTAATTAACTTCACGTTAATTAACATTCTAACTTATGTGGTGAAACTTAGAAACTGGGGTGATTTTTTCTGTAAACAATTCATAACATGTTAATTATCGTTTTATCAAGTTAATTATCGTTTTTTTTTAATCTTTATAAGTCAATTTACAAAAGAACATAGAAATATTTTGAATTAATATTATCTAAAAGCATTTAAAGCGAGCGCAGGAAAAAGAAAAAACATTGAGTCTGGAAAACAACTCTAACAAGTTCCAAAACTATCGCCTCCTTTTTTTAAAAAATTTGATCTTGCTGTGCTGATTTTTATTCATGCTTTTTCTAGCCTGATTTTTTTTTTATGACTCTTACAACTCTCTATGAGTGATTATGGTGTTGAAGTTAAATTGGTTGAAACGTTTGCGAACATGAATAACCTAAAATAACTCTCATTTTCCCCTAAGAGTAAAAGGCATATAATATTATTATAAGAAAATCGCTATTTCATTAGATAACCGAGCCTTTGAAAAATAGTTTTAAGAACTTTAATAGCTTTAAAAAATACTGGTTTGTCCAGAGTTAGTTCGCAGTTTTAAGTAAGGGCATTTGACTATTTCTCTTTTTTGTATTTCAGAAAATAACTCCTAGTCATTTAGAGTCATTTATGTATGATGCAGAAGCATTGAGAGAAGTGTTGCTATATCACATAGGAGTCGGGCAACCTGAAATCAACGCACAAGAGCAAGAGTTACGATCAAGGCTAGAAAATACCTCTCTTCGTATTCAAGTACATGCTTCGGTAAATAGTTTCCAACATTTGAAATTTTGGTTTAATTTATTTCTCGTTTATAATTCATATTTCGTGTCGTACCATTAAAATGAATTTATTTACAGGGTTATTCGATATTAGCGGTTACATATAAATAATTCATTTTAATACAGTTACGCATCTACACGGTAATTCTGTATAGCGGTTACAAAACTAAAAGGGAAGTGATGCACATCATAATGATTTAAAATTGCTTAGCTATATCTGGCCTGAAACGCCATCTTCAGTTTCTCTATTATAATCTGGCTGTTCGGGCGTATTTGAATCGGTACTTTTATTTATTTTAATTATCTTAATTTTGTTTTTTGATTTGGATTTCAAAATGGCAAACTTTACTATGTAGTCATCAAATCAATAAAACAGTTAAAATTAGGCAGCTTTCAATAATAATTAACATAAAATTAATGTACAATCAGGCTAATTCAAATAGATAAAATTATCGGTCCTAATGTGCACGTCCATAATAGGGAAGCTCTCCAAGTAACATAAAATAACGTTTCTGGTTATGGATTACTACGCAATTCTCAATCCCTGTGAGACAGCCTAACATAGTTTGCAACAACTACCTTGAATTCTCAGTACAAAAAAAAATGAAACGAGTAGTTTTTTTGTGATAAGATTGGGATTGACAGCAGTTAATATTAAAATNTAAAATAACGTTTCTGGTTATGGATTGGTTTGCAACAACTACCTTGAATTCTCAGTACAAAAAAAAATGAAACGAGTAGTTTTTTTGTGATAAGATTGGGATTGACAGCAGTTAATATTAAAATCACAAATAGTATGTTTAAAAATATTTAAATGTGTAATGTGTTGCATTATCATCATGTAATGTAAGGTGTTCATCATGTAATGTAATGGATGTAAGGTGTTGCATTATCATCAATACGATTTTAGAAATGAAGAATTCCAGCGTTCTTCCAATGTACAATACTCAGCTGAAAGTCTTAGGTCCTCTACCAATGTTTTTGAAAAATAAGCATCATATATTAGCCTTAATTTCTAGGAGACTTTTCACATAATTAAAAGCAAACATTCAGTAGTAAATTATTTCATTGATGTTCCATGACTGTCCAAAATTTGATAAATACTTTTTTTTAAATTATTTTTGTCGGCTTTTTTTTTTTAATCGTTTTTAATCTTTTAATTGCCTATTTTTCTCATAAGTTGTAAAAGCAACATCTAATTTGAAGGCATAATAGATTTTGTTTATTTTCCGTACATATCCTCCAACATTTAAATTTATCGTGAGACACTTTCTACTGTGGTAGAAGAGAAATTTTTAAAATAAATAAGATTTCTCAATAAAACGTATAACAAATCTCAACAAGATTTTTAACTTAATTTTAATTAAGCAATCTGATTTGATTATATACAGGTGTTGGACAAAAATATGGGAACAGTTCTATACTAATTCTATATAAACAGTGTTTCGTTTAGCGACAAATGTTTTGGAAGAATTTACGTGTCAAAATGGTTCGTACTAATAATGCTAAAAACTTTTAGCTGTTAGGTCATTTGCACTCATGCTTTTCAAAGCTTTAATACCTACCATTTTGAAATTCAATTTATTGGAATTGCATACATTTGAAGGTTAATGTGCTCAATTTAAATTTATAAACCTTTGTCAAATAGAAGGACAGAGAGAAATATGCAGAGGACAGCATGAAGTTACATCCAGAATAACAGCGGGATTCGAACCCGCTACCTTCACGTTTTGCACAGCATTTCATGGGCGATACCGCTCGGCCAAGGGGGGGGGGGCACGGAATTCCTTTTGCAGGCTTGCAATATTTCGTTTAGGTTGATTTTTTAAAATTATATTGGTACTGAAAAAAGAACAAAGCTTTTAAGTTACGGTAATTTTGGTCGATTCGAATTTTGCATGGGGAAAAAAGGAAGGTATTTCTAAAAGCTTCTAGCTTGATCATGAATTGACCATGATCTTTAAAATTGTGGTAGCAGTTTTACCATGAAAAATCTGCCAAAACCAAAAAGAAATATTGTTTGCATCGAGTTATTAAAGAAGAGTTTTCATATTTTTGTTCATCCCCTGTATCTCATTGAATTGTTCGAATATATCAGTAAAGAAAATATTTTTAATTCAAATTTATTAAAATATTACACGTTTTACCTTTAGAAAAAAATGTTTTTCGTAGTAGTTGGAGCGTATGTGCTTCCATGTATACAGTGAGACATCCAAGAAAAACCACCTCCTTTTACGACTGCTTTTGAAAGTGACGGAATTTTTTCCATAAACTTAGTGTTGAAGAAAACCTTTAGGAGAGACCATTAAAACCTCTCACAGCGACCGGGTAAACCTCTGCACCAAATGCGGAAAAGGTCGAATAAAGAAATAAGAAAAAAATATCAAAACAAAAATTTTATAAAATAAATAAGTAAATTAAAATGTACTCAAAATATTTGTCTGAGGCTCTTATTTAGAGAGCTCTTTTTGACGATATAACCTCATGTTGCAGTCAGAGTGTACTAAAGTCGGAGACGATGTTATCAGTGATTTTCTACTAGAGTAGGAAGATAAATAAGAAAAAAAAAGTTGTTTTAGAAAGAAAAAAAAACCTCTTCTCATCTTTTAAAGTTAACTAATTCTTATGATATAGAATTAAATGCATAAACAAAAAACATATTTGTTTATTTATTTAAAATAGCTTTATCACTCATAATTGATAATTTAGACATAATTATATCAGTTGGAATCATTTTTACAGACGCTGAAATTTATTCGTTGATACGTTTTTTCATGTCGCCGACATAAGTGGGATTTCTTCACCAAGAAAAATGGACACTGACTAAAATTAAAATTAACAGTTCAATGGAGGTAACCTCTAAGAACGACCCATCTCTATCAATGACCATTTTACTGTGGAATGGAGAGTGGTCGCTCACTATTAATAAGAAAAAAACAAAACAAATTGTTATTTTTCAATGATGCTTTTTCTTTTTAAAAAATTGAAGAAAATATTAGGTTATTCGTTAGTGTACTATTATCGTAATTAGTATTGTTTTTCTTTTTTGTAGTACCCACACTCTGCTCCTCAAGTTCTAGTTCAATGTGCTGAAATTTTAAGTACAGGCAACAAGATCTGCGGCGGAACGCTTCATGTAATTAACAAGGTAACTTATACAAAATATAACTACTGCATTTTTTGCAAAATATTTTATAGAGTGAGAGACTATTAAAGACTAAAGCTTTCCGAACTCTTAGTCATTACTTCGGCATTTTAAAAGCCTCACCATATGATCTGATATAGTGGTTTTTCGTATAAACTTTTGAATCATTAACGAGTTGTGTGAAAAAAAAACAACTTTAAACCAAATTAACATAACAAAGAATCAGACTTAACTCACTAGAAGAAATTTTCCTCAAAAATTAAAAATTTAACGGCCCTGCATACTTGGCAGAGCAAACCGTTAAACATTATTATTGTTGCGACAATCTGTTTACATAATTTTCTAATGGTTTTGCCACATTTCTCCATTTTTTTGTCGCAATATTTGACGAATTCTTGAAATTAAAAAAAAAAAAACTGTTGAATTATTTTTTTGTGTACTTGAAAGTCGAGAAGAAGAATACGCGATTAAGCCCAATCATGTGATTCAAATTATATGGTAGAGCTTATTCACATGTTTGTACTACTTGACTAGTTAACGTTATAGCAATCATGGGTGCAACTCCTCAGTTTTGAGAAAAGATCAGAGAACTGATTTTCTATCCTCCAAAAATATTCATTTCCAATTTATTTTTCAAATTATTAAGTTTTCATTTAAATATTTACTTTTCCTTTCTCTGTGGAAAAAAAATTAAACAATTATTTTATGAAAAAATAAATAAAAAGGTAATTACTTTTTGTGAAAACATCGTTGTTTTTCATAATGATTGTAAAATGAACAAGTAATGTTGTCACACCACAATGAATTTTTACATCTTCTTGGGCTACAATGGTGGTTTACAATGAAAGAATGGGACTAATTAAATTTCAACATCTACAAGTTTTAACAAAATTATTATTGTTGAATCTGAATTTGCTTGAGTTTGTATTCCCCCACCCCAATATTTTGTAATAATGGACAAAGTTAATTTAGGTTTATTTTTTAAAATATTAAATTTAAAGATCTAGGAAAAAACTTTAATAATGATGAAGTGAAAAAAGAAGTAGAAATATGAATGGCTCCAAGAAAAAGTTAGTGGCGTAATTCAGCAATTGGTTCAAAAAGATATACATGATCAGCTATTATTTTAATTTATTTATTTATTGAAGAAAAAAATAATCAATTACTGGTATAGTATGTGGGCCATTTTCATGGAAACTGAGCTATAAATCTCCGAAAATATCTTCTAAATAGCATTAGACAGTGTTAATTGATCAAAAAATAAGTTCAGTCTTAAAATTTTTCTTGAGTAGTTCCGCATATAGCAGCAATTAAATTTTGTTTATTATCAAGCTGGATCAATTTTCTGATCATATTTAATTGGATAAATGTAAGCGACGTCACGTGTGTTTGTCGAATTTGATTGGTTTCTGAATCGTGGTAAAAACCGATGCCACGATTTACCCATGATTACGTCACTTGCTGGTAATCAATTAAAATGTAACATTTTTGCTAAATTAGAGACAACCATTATTCAATATTTTTACTTTTACTCTCACTGGAAGCTTTGCTCTTTTCATATGCTTTTCAGATGGAACAGAGGTAAATTTTTAAGTGCGGTATAATCTCGATATAACAAATATTTCTGGTATAATCTCGATATAACGAATATACGTTCTCGATATAACGTTATGAGAAGTATGCTATTACAACGCGTCACTGTCAAAATACTAATATTAAATATAAACAAATATGTTTAAAATGAGCCACACATTTCTTTTTTAATATTTATGAACAGTGGTTGGAAAAACTGCATTATTTTTGTAGTTTATTATAGCTGCAACTACTTTTGTTACAAATGTAGTTAACTACAACTACTTTTTTTTAAATGTAATGACTACAAGCTACTTTGGAATTGTCGTAATTAATTCACTACTTTAAGGAGAAAAACTTTGCTAGGGAATTAACTTAATTTACACCTTTGTTCAAAATGGGTTTGAATGAATACATTACATTAAATATAGGGAAATAATGAAGAAATATTTATTCATGATTACATGAGCCAGTTTGTTATTACAAAACATTTCTGTTCGAATTTGTTCATATAATCTTCATTTAAGCCTTTTTCGACCGCAAATATTTAATTTAAGAAATATGAAATAATCAAATACTTTCAATTTTGTTAAGTGTTTAATGCTATTTTATTTCCTCTAAGAACGAAAATACGTTCCCTTCCGTTTAAATAACGTGTGCATGAGCAAGCAAGTGTAAATGTACGTTTATAAACCCATACGTTCTTTATAAACTTGCATATTTAGATAAAAAAAATAAGCTAAACTAAAAATACCGCTTAAAAAAATTCTGTAGCTTTTCAAATGAAACTAAATTTAGATTTGAAATCCTTGCACCCGAATTAAGTAAAATCGAGTACTTGCATAACAGTAACAAAAACTTCTGTTCCCCAGTGTTTTAGTTACCTAATTTAGTAACCTTCTAAGCGTGATACAAGATATGTTCCTACTTCTTTCTTCAGGTTCTCCTTCCACCGAAACTCAGCCTGATGCAACTACTTGAAAACATCGAAGGTTTTTCTACTTTAGTTCTTTTATTGAGGGTGACAGGACTGGAGAATCGCCTGAAAGATCCAAATGCGAGGCAGACGATTTTAGCACCCACCGATGACGCTTTCCACCTGATGGGACAATCTTTTCTCTTCCGTCTTCTGGATGATTTGAATTTTGCCTCTGATTTAGTCAAAATGCACATTCTGTCAGGTACTATGTTCTCTTACTTGGACATTACAAGTGTTGACACAATTTAGATTTGTTCAATAGACTAGATATTCAACCATCTATGCGATGGTCGAATATCTAGTCTGAGTCAGGTACTATGTTCTCTTACTTGGACAGTACAAGTGTTGACACAATTTAGATTTGTTCAATCGACTAGATATTCAACCATCTATGCGATGGTCGAATATCTAGTCTGAATCAGATACGATGCTCTCTTACTTGGACATTACAAGTGTTGACACAATTTAGATTTGTTCAATAGACTAGATATTCAACCATCTATATCAATTTTCAAATAAATTCTATTGAAATTATGGATTCATTTATAAAGTTTTTAAATTATTTGTTAAAAATGAAGTTTAACTGTATTCAAGAGAGAAAAAACGCAGCATAAAATGACAATCAGGCAAATAACTATAGAAAAGAACAAATTTTGTGTTGTATTTATACAAGTACTTGATCTTGCCTAATTCGGGAGTGGGGATTTCAAATCTAAAATTAGTTTGTTTCGGAAATGCACAAAGCGCAAAATAAAAAACGGACCACCCTGAATATATTTTGATGTGATCTTCCCGTTCTAGGACTTAATTTGAATGGCTCGAGGGAGTACTTCAAATATGCTAATTAATATGGGCAAACGATATTTTAAGTTAGGAAATCAGACCCAAAAACGCACTTAATCCAATTAAACATACTCTTTCTTCGCCAAACCTTTTTAATACCCTAAACATAGGGGTAGCCACAATCTAGAAATTATGGGTCCAATAGTTTGGTCAGAAGAGCGCGTTTAAGTTTTGACCCCTTAAAGATAATTTTACTTTTTGCATATTTCGCTATATCTCGAGAACTTTTTAAGTAAATTAAAAAATTTTGAACACAATTATAAAATTCGCTTATCCAAAGATAATAAAACTCAAAAAATAACTTTTATAAATATTTATTATTTAAGAATGGTCGAAAAAAATTTTGAATACGAAGGTATACATCTTTTTGGATCATTTTGAAGTAAAAAAAAGCATCATTACAAAATACTAAACTTGAGCAAAATTGATAGAATAGTGCCTGAGAAATTAAATTTTAATTATCTGACCTTTTTGAAATTTAATTTCCCAGGAAATTTTCAACCGATTTTGCTCGAATTTTGTATTTTGTCTTTAAAATTGCATTTAAAATGACGTAAAATATTGTATACCTTACAATTCAAAATTTTTTCAACTATTATTAAATAAAATTATAAAAGATATTCAGTAAAAGTTATTTTTTCTATGGCACTTTGTTTGAATAAACGAATTTTATAATTGTGTGCAAATTTTTTTAATTCGCATAAAAAAATCTAGAGATATAGTGAAATACGCAAAAAAGTAAAGTTAACATTATGGGATTAAAACATTGAAACGCTTTCATATTCATGGTAAATCCTTCACAAATGAGGCGGACTTGCGCTACGCACTTACGGACTTCCTTGCGTCAAAAACTTAGCAGTTTTACTGCAAGGAAATCGAGCAGCTGGGGGAACATTGACAGAAGATGCTGAATGCCGATGGAGATTAAGTCGTGAACGAACAATAGGTTATACCTTCTACAAGTCAGCCGTTAAAAACGGCGAGAACTTAATTGGTTACCTAGCAGAAAAGTTGTACAGCATATCTCATAAATACACTCATACATATTAGGGGTGATTCAGCACTGCGGTTACCAACTTGAAAGAGAGGTAGAGTGGATCTTATTGCATGACAACTCATGTTGGAAACTTCATCATAATGTTGCTAGAGGCACTTCCGTGGACTGACTGTTCATGCATATTTGGAACCCAGAAATAAACTCAGACATAATAAATAGACTCAGAAATAAATATTTTATCGTAATAAAATGATTTCACCAATAATTTATGGAGCTTACTGTCAGTAACCTGCTTTGTTTTTTTAAACTTTCTCTGCAATTCTAATGTATTTTATTTATATTAGTTTTGTTTGAAATAAGTAAAGCAAAATTGATTCGGTTGCAATAGTTAAAATTTATTAATTTCTTCATTCTATTTTGATAATTTCTTTTTTTTTTCAGGCACTGTTTGCTGTTCTCAGCTGAAAGCAGATTTCATGGCAGGTCGTCGACTCGTGAGAGCAGTCGACGGTTCATCCCTTCCTATCAGTCGAACGAGAGAAGGAACTCTTACCGTGTTCGACGCTCGACTAGTCGACTGTGATATAATGGCCACTAATGGTGCTGTACATATGGTGGATGCAGTATTTCTACAAAAAATGGGAGATGGCGCATTTATTAGAATTTAGGAAAATAATTGAATAAAAATATTTTTGTTTACTGAGTAATCGACATTTATTTTAAGGTAAATTAAAATGCTTCACTCTTTGAGAGGCCAGAAATTGTTTTAAAAATAAAACACCGAAATGGCCAAAAATAGTTTAGTTTGGCTCCAGTTGAACATTTTATTTAAATGAATTTTGTAATTTACATTATTTTGTTTACATTGTGATTAGCGTTTGTAAACCACAGCCTTTTAAAGAATTAACCAAAGTTGTTGTGCATACAATTTTAGACAAAAATTCAAACTATTAATTATGACAAAAATTATTAATAATTACGCAATAATTATTTCAATTGAAAACAAAAACATACTGTCACTCAAAAAACCTTAAAATCTAGTAACAGTATTATTTTATGGCTGTTAACTATTATTAGAGTCCTTTTATTTAACTTAAAATTTTTTCAAGTAAGGACAAAATATTTTTATAATTCAAATGGATTAAAAAAGAAATTCAATCTAGCTTATAAGGTATTTAGCTTATTAGGTATTTCATTAGATATAGGAAAAGTATCTATAGGAACTATCTATAGGAAAAATATATAGGAAATGGTCTTAAAAGTATTTTTTAAGACCATTTTTTGGGAGGGGGAAGGTAGATTTTATTTTCAAAATTTTATTCACTGTATACTTGGGCTTTTTTGCTTATAAGTAAGCGATCAAATGAACTAACGCATAAAATAATTCCCCAGTGGTTATAATGGTTTCTTATACTTCTTCCTGATCCGACACTAACCTTTACTATTACTCACATTTATGTAAACAAAACCTTTTTTTGTATTGAAGTTATCAAATGGTGTGAAAATAGCTTTTCATAAACATTTAAAAATTAATAAAATCGTACGGAGGTATTCTTGGGAAGAGTTGCGACAATTTTTTTCAATACAAAAAGTCAAGCGTGACTGAGTTAATGTATTTTTAGGGTTTGCGCAATCTTTTAAAAATAAATAAGAAGAGGAAGTATCGAAATTGTAAAATTTTGTTTCTTTACTCTTTGCGGACAGAAAATTTTAATCAATAAATTTAGTCAAGGAAATTCAGGAGAATTCGGTCACTACATGAACTATGGCAATTTATCTTAACATTTTTTAAAATGAAAAGTAGTTAATTAAAAGCAACGTTGTGTAAGAGATAAAAACAAAATATTTGAATTTTAGTTTTTATATTATTGGGAAAAATAAGTGGTTCAGTTTATAGCCCGCCCCTGAAAAATTTAACTTTCAAATTACTATTAAATTCACGAATCGCTTAATTTCGCTACCAAACACATTCGTAATATAATTATTTGAAATTATTTAAATTATTGTGATAATTGAGAACATAATAAAATGCATATCTATACCTGCCAACTTTTTATCTTTCCAAGGATAATTTTCTCAAGTGGTAGCAAAAAAAAAAAAAAATTAGTTCCAATTACAGACAAATCGAATTTAATATGGTAGAAATCATATAAATCTCGGTGCGCTGCCGCGAAGCGGCATTAACCGATTCATCTGTAGTAGTAATTCGATGATGAGGAGTAGTGAGGTGGTGCTTAGCACCAAAAATCGAGAGTGTATTTCGTGTGCTAGGGCAACGTCATATCCCTAAGGAAAAAGGCAGTGATTGGGCTAAATTTAGTGGTGTCGTCAATTAATTCAATATCTAGGAGTGAGTTAAAATTGCTGGTGGAACAGGTTTTTGCTTCATCGTAGAAATTTAAGAATCATATATTAAAAGACTTCCACTCGAAAATTTTAATCCGCCTCTGTCCGGGGCAAGTCAGCATCTTCGCAGCGATACCAGATGCGTACAAAAATATAAGCAATAAATTAGTGGTGAATAATAAAATTCAAAATTTTAGTAAAAGAATTTAAAATTAGCAACTTTTTTTATTAGTTGAAAGTCCCGCTAAATTAGCTAAAAAGGAATTAAAAAATTTTTTTCTTTGAGTCAAAAATTTCCAAATGAATAACTGACATACAGATTGAAAAAAAAACGGTTAAATTTTGTACTGATTAAATTAATAAATGGTGTTTTCCAAACGTTAGTTTTCTTCCACGTTCTTTTAGGAAAATGTTTGAATCAATTTTAATAATTACAGTGTTGTAAGGTGTTTAGAAATGCAAAAAGTGGTAACCAATATTAAGCAAAAATCAAGAAAGAGAAAGTGAAATTATGGGTGAAAGCGAGACGGAAAAAAGAAAAAACTCGTAGTAAAATCATTTCAGTTTTAACTAATTTTCAGGGGTAGCTAATCCATTTTCTTTTTCAAACTATTTAACAATGTCTACTTTGTCTTGAGGGGAAAAAACGGTTTTATATATATATAATAATTATAAAAAATATCTCGGTAGTTACAGAAATCAAATTTTTCTCGAAAAAAAAAAAATGCCCGAATGATATGTCTTTCATACCAGTTCCGTCCTGGTATATATAGGCTTTCAGCCCTGAGTGAAATGAGGGTAAGTAGTTTTCAGGGATGCCAACTGCTCCGCTTTCTAGAATACTTTTAATGAAATGGTAGCAAATTATATAGTAAAATTTGTTAGAGACAGATAGTTACACCTACTTTTTAATAGAGTAACCAATGGATTGATGCTCATACTCATATGTGTTGGTTATCTTAGCATCAGCCCCGCTAGGGGCTCCAACTAATTCATCTGAGTGGAAATAAAAAATAAATCGCCGAAGCGCATCTGAAAGGTGAAATGGATTGATGCTTTAACGTTGCATCTTATATGATAGGCATAATTTTTGATATTTAGTGGTAAAAAAATTACTTAAAAGAAAAAATACAAAACTAAAAGTAATTTGAGTTTCGCTACCACTAGAAAATAAAATTTTACAAAGCGGAGCAAGTTGGCATCTCTGTAGTTTTTCTTCACTAATTAATTATGGTGCCTGTCTGTGCACCATTGAAGCCCGCAGCAGCTGAGATTATATTTCTCTGTAAAGTTTTGTAAATATTTCTGTATATATCTTTTCGTGTTGCTTATATAAATCTTGCATTATACCAAAATGATATAAGCTTCGGCTACGTTTAATACTACTCCACTCAGACGAATGTATTAGATAATCACATCACATAGGCATAGTGAAATGAGCAAAATATTTACAATTTAAATATTGATTAAAAAATTAGGAATATATTTTCGATTTTGCATGGTGGTAGCTGCAAATGGATAGCTACATTTAGAAATTGAAAAATATTAAAATTAAATTATATCTACCATTTTTTTAAGCTTTTTTGGCTTATATTCCATCACTGTAGTAATTATAGTGTAAGCGGCTATCGCATCCTATCACGTGATCCTAAATAAATTTAAGATTGACCCTTTCAACGCAATACTTTTCTGGGATGAAACAACAAAATATGTCATAGCCAATTTGAATTAAAATAAAAATTTCATTGTTTCACTTTCATTCGATTTTCCTTGAACTCTTTTAAAAACAACGAACTTATCATTATAGAAATCGATTGTTAGTCATTTTGATTTGGTACTCAAATTTCTTTAGGCAGGATTAAAACAAATTAATATTGTCTTTTCTCCTTATGACATACATTCGAATTTCAAAACAATCACAGTAAAATACAAAATTCTATTTTTAATTTAAAACTTACTTTTGTTAACTGAAATTTTTTTAAAAAAAATTCACATCGCACAAAGGCTTACTTTTTAATTTATAAAACTTTTTTATTGTTAATAATAGAAATAATTTAGCCCAAATCCGTCATTAGTAGAAAAGTAATTCTAAACCAATATAACTTGATTGTGTCAGGGATAATCGTTTTTCTTTATAATCCAAAAATGTATTAAAATGGAAATGAATAAATGTTGCCATTTAGAACATCATAATCTTCCTAACTGGGTGATTGCGGGAGTGTGATATGAATTTCAGGTGGATTCTTTTAAGTCTTCTGGCTAGATCAATCCTATGTTTAGAGAGGTAATTTTTTATTTATCTATTTCATAATTAATGCGGATTATTGTAAATGGCAACAAAATTGAGAAGCATAATTTTATTTTAACATGTTTGTACTTACCACTACATATAAATGATTTTAAATAACTATATTTTTAATAAATATCTTATTCATTCTAAAGCGAGAGCATGATCAAATCATCGTTATTAAAAATTAGTTATTCTTATGTCCACGTATAGCGGATATGACTAGTGTTCCGAAAATTTTGAACAGTGTTGTCAACTGTTTTTATGATATTTTCATAAATATTATAGTTTTTAAATTCACTTCTATTTTAGAAATTTAGTTATAACGCCGATATTTGATTTACAAACGTTTTGTTTCCACAATCTTCATTATCTCGCACTCGCAGCTTTGAAAATTTCCTGGAAAGTGACTAACATTTCCTTTTCATATCTATAATGTTTTTTTAAAAATATATACAGGAAAAAATTATGTACAATTATCTACATACAAAAGGATGATTTGAGATTTAAATAGAGAGTGAGATTGTTTGTGCACATTAAGAGTGTACCTCTGTCATAGTTGAGCCCAGGCCGTCTTCGTAAATACCACTTTTGCCGGATTTGCTTAATCCTAATCAGACCCCTAGGGATTGCTCATTCACAGGGATGAGCTGAATCTGCGTGCACATCAACTGCACATATTCGTTCGTTAGTTGCAGTGACACTGGGCGCCTGAGGCCTTACGGCTCTTTTCCCATTCATCCTGAAATTAGACTAGAAACATACATGACAAAAATAAAGTTTGGGGAACAAAAAGAAGTTCTAGAGATCAACTGCAGATAAAGTTTTCTTTTTAACTATAAATAACTTATAATGTATGCGATGGCGGAAGTTATGTTTGAATAAGTTATGTTTTTAAGTGTTTTTGGCAGTAATGTCCGTGATTTTGGTGTCATGGGTGCCGGGTTACGTTAAATAACAACACTAGCAGCATCTTTCGTGGCAAAGAACGTGACAGTTCGGTGCCAGAAGGAAAAAAAACATTTCCAATTTTTTAAAAGAAATATATGAGATATATATTTCAATTCAGA